AAAAATCTTAATAACAGTTTGAAATCTTTGAAAATAGGCCAAATGCATCTTGAGAGAGACAAAAAGCAGAAAAGTGACCCATATAAAGGGCTAAATATGTTCTAAATGAACACTTAAAATACTTAAGTGGAGTATCAGAGTTAAACTAACCATCAGTTTTATTGACACCAGCCCTTATTGACTTAGAAAATCGCAGAAATCCAGACTGAAAAGACTCTGGAGAAGCTCTACAGACAAATTCCAAGTCATCTCCCTTTAAATGTACAGACGACAGTCAGAAATACAACTATTTATGGTCAGATTGGGGAAAACATGACATTCTCCTCACTCTGGTAATCAGACAACGTTGTTTCTATACCCATAAACGGGTATAAAATGGGTGTAAATGTAGAAACGGAGTCAAGAGTTGTCCCTTTAAAGGCCACAAACCCAAATCAAACAGCCTCGTAATTTGGTCCAGTTGTGCCTGGATGGAGGACCAACCATCCACCTCCAGGCAGCTCCCACCCAGCAGAGGAGGATCCTCCTCCTCCTCCTCTCTATTTCTGACCCATCGCCATGGCAGCCGGGATGGAGATGCAGGTTGTTACGGCAACACCGTTCAGACCCTGATGGATGCTGGGGACCTGGGACAGACCCTCCACATCTGCAGCACGTCTGTTTCCTGCTTTCCATTCAGTGCAGAATTCCTCCCAGTTATCCCTGTTTTCCCCTTTTCCCTCCCCAGCATCAGGACCACAGGGGGGACACGGCCCCAGTGAGAGGCCTGAGCCCCCAGCGTGCTCCTATCATGGTTAAAAAAGCAGAATTTAGAAGCTCCGTGGTGATAATTCAACACTAAAATTGAATTATTATTGTTTCAGGCATTTTTTAATATTCTGTTTTATTGAAAAATGTTTAAAAAATAGTAAAGATCATCATGGTTTCTGATAAAGATGTCTGATTCTGTTTGTTTCCTGTCATTCCTGAACAGAAAAGAGAGTTTTAGAGGCTTTTCTCAAAGAACCCCGGCGGAGTTGGCTTTGAAATCGTAATAAGTTGAATACGGTAAAAATGCTGACTCAGACACGTGCAGTGAAAGGGTGAATGTTTGGAGCAAACTAAAGCAAAAAGGTGAACTTGCAGCTTTAATTACCCCCCAAAATCACCTGCCTGTTGCCACCCTTCAGCTCCAGGCCGTCATAAAGCCGCCAGCTCATCTGGTTTCGGCTCTTTATCTCCCCCCCCCCCCCCC